ATTGATTAATACCAAATTTCAAATAGGTGCCCAATTAAAAAAGGTAAGTTAGATTAAATTACCAATGATCCCTCACCAAACGTTAGTTCCAAATGTGGTCTTTAGCCCAATGATGAGCGTTGTGCTTATTAAAAACTCCACATTTCGTAAATCTGCTCTCATCGGACCACAAGACATGACCTTTAAAATCGGGATTTTTATTAGATTTCCTAGTATACCTCTCACAGAAACGCATTCGCCTTGGAAAGTCAGTTTCGTCAAGTCGTCGAACTATTGTAGGTTTGTACGGATGGTACTTATTCTTATTTAACACACTCTGTGCTGTTGAATTTGACACACCATTTTCTCGTTCTTTAGTTCTTACTGATGCACCAGGGATTTCGTGATCCCTGAATAGAGAATAAAATCCGGGACACACTGTATACGTCAAGCGATTATAATAATGCAAATCGGTGAAAAACAGTTTGCTGAAGCAGAAGTAGCAGAAATCTGGGCAACACACGAATGCGTAGTATGTAAGTGGTTCGATGCTGTTGTGTCTTCTTCCTTCCATTAATATCGGTACAGGCGTTGCTGGAATTACGTGGTTCCAAGGACACCGACAGACAGGCACAGACCGACAAATCGAGGGAAATGAGTGACATGGATTTGCATGATATATACTAAGTGACATATAAATCCGAACACCCAGATTAAATGGTTTTATTTTAATAAAATTTGGTGAATGTATTTATCTTACTGTAAATAACAAGTGAAAAAATGTTCAGCCTTATCGGTTGGACATTCCGGTTTTTATACTGCTTTTTTAAATTCACTAACGCTCTAAAAATGAATATTTATTTCAGCCGCAGTAAAGAATCAACGTTGGCGGATTTTGGTTCGTGACATCCTTTACGATCGGTTACGATGCATAGAGTACGGAGACCTGTACGATTTCGTCAACTTAGTGAGTTTGATAGGGGCCGTATAGTGGGACTTCGGGAAGCTGGACTTTCTTTTCGGGCAATTGCAGTTAGAGTGCAAAGAAATGTAGATACTGTGGTTAGGTGTTGTCAGGCATGGCTTCGAGAAGGCCATACGCAAAGAGCAAGAGGCACTGGACGCCGCCGTAGAACAACAGACCGTGAAGATCGCCGCCTAAGATTATTGGCCTTAAGGGACCGTTTCTCCACTACCAGGTCCATTGCAAAGAATGGTTTGCAGAACACGGAAGACCTATTGGCATGCGAAGTGTTTACCGACGAATGAGAAGTTTTGGCTTGTTTTCATACCGGCCACACTGGGTCCTCCCTTTAACTCGAGAACACCGACGTAATCGCCTTGAGTAGTGCAGACAACGGTCACCCTGGGATCAGGAATGGAACAGTATTGTCTTTAGTGACGAGTCTCGATTTTGTTTAGGCATTCACGATGGTCGTGCCAGGGTTAGAAGGCGACGTGGTGAAAGGAGGAATCCACAGTTTTTTGTTCAAAGACATGTTCATCACACTGTTGGAGTTATGGTTTGGGGTGCTATAGCTTATGGTTCCAGGTCACCTTTAATCTTCATCAGAGGTAACATGAACGCGCAGTGTTATATCCACGAAGTTCTAGAACCCCATCTTTTACCCTATCTTGACACCATGGCAGATCCAACTTTCCAACAAGATAATGCCCCACCACATGTTGCAAGAGTCACAATAGACTTCTTTCAACATAATGATGTCACATTGTTACCACGGCCACCAAGATCTCCCGACTTATCCCCAATTGAGCAGGTGTGGGATATGATGGGTAGGAGATTGCTCAATTTGCAACGTCCTCCTCAGACTCTAGAAGCACTTCGAGAGGAGTTGGTGGTTGCCTGGAATGAGATACCACAGGAGGACATTGACCACCAGATCAGAAGCATGCCTAGGCGCGTTGGAGGATGCGAGGCACATCAGGGTGTATCCACACATAATTAAAGGTCAAAGGGCTTTAAAGCAGTGCAATCATTTTGAAATTTTTATCATTTACTTATTATGCTTCATTAAGTACTTATACAAAATTTTATTAAAATAAAACCATTTAAACTGGGTGTTCGGATGTATATGTCACTTAGTATAGAAATCTGTAACCGACAAAAAACTCGCTTAACGAAGTTTCAATATTGTTGCAATTAGAATACCTTTATCGTTTATGATGTGAAGTAAGTTCACTTTGTACCTCCCATGCGTTTATGTGGTTTCAAAACTCATACCTAATAGATACGAGGCACCTGGATGTTATTTACCCGAGGAAGGTCAGTCTATTATTTCTCAATCTTCAGCCGCTGTATAACTGGGAAGGTAACACTTTGATGATATTTCGACACAATGTGATCACTATGCCAATGTCGAAAAGAAAGTAGGTAGTAGTAATTTGAGAAAATTGGTTTAGGGTTGGCAGAACTACAGAAAATGAAAAAAATTAAAAATCACTAAAGAATTGCGCTTTAACGTTTCAAAATATCCTGCGTATTTCCAGAAAGTTTTTTGAGGGATTGAAAATTGTGTTGAAAGGGGCAGGCTGTGAGTTGTCGTGAGTTGTTAGATCTCTGGTATTAGGGAAAAATGTATTATTAAGAAGTTGGTGATCCTGGTAATACTACATACCTTCCAGACATAATAATCACATAGAAACATAATAAGTGACATATAAATCCACCCAGCTTAAATGGTTTTATTTTAATAAAATTTTGTGTAAGTACTTAATGAAGCATAATAAGTAAATGATAAAAATTTAAAAATAATTGCACTGCTTTAAAGCCCTTTGACCTTTAATAATGTGTGGATGCACCCTGATGTGCTACGCATTCTTCAACGCGCCTAGGCGTGCTTCTGATCAGGTGGTCAATGTCCTCCTGTGGTATCTCATTCCAGGCAACCACCAACTCCTCTCGAAGTGCTTCTAGAGTCTGAGGAGGACGTTGCAAATTGAACAATCTCCTACCCATCATATCCCACACGTGCTCAATTGGGGATAAGTCGGGAGATCTTGGTGGCCATGGTAACAATGTAACATCATTATGTTGAAAGAAGTCTATTGTGACTCTTGCAACATGTGGTCGGGCATTATCTTGTTGGAAAGTTGGATCTGCCAGTGTGTTAGGATAGGGTAAAAGATGGGGTTCAAGAACTTCGTGGATATAACGCTGCGCGTTCATGTTACCTCTGATGAAGATTAAAGGTGACCTGGAACCATAAGCTATAGCACCCCAAACCATAACTCCAACAGTGTGATGAACATGTCTTTCAACAAAAAACTGTGGATTCCTCCTTTCACCACGTCGCCTTCTAACCCTGGCACGACCATCGTGCATTCCTAAACAAAATCGAGACTCGTCACTAAAGACAATGCTGTTCCATTCCTGATCCCAGAGTGACCGTTGTCTGCACCACTCAAGGCGATTACGTCGGTGTTCTCGAGTTAAAGGGAGGACCCAGTGTGGCCGGTATGAAAACAAGCCAAAACTTCTCATTCGTCGGTAAACACTTCGCATGCCAATAGGTCTTCCGTGTTCTGCAAACCATTCATTTGCAATGGACCTGGTAGTGGAGAAACGGTCCCTTAAGGCCAATAATCTTAGGCGGCGATCTTCACGGTCTGTTGTTCTACGGCGGCGTCCAGTGCCCCTTGCTCTTTGCGTACGGCCTTCTCGAAGCCATGCCCGATAACACCTAACCACAGTGTCTACACTTCTTTGCACTCTAACTGCAATTGCCTGAAAAGAAAGTCCAGCTTCCCGAAGTCTCACCATACGGCCCCTATCAAACTCACTAAGATGACGAAATCGTACAGGTCTCCGTACTCTAGGCATCGTAACCGATCGTAAAGGATGTCAAGAACCAAAATCCGCCAACGTTGATTCTTTACTGACGCTGAAATATTCATTTTTAGAGCGTTAGTGAATTAAAAAAAGCAGTATAAAAACCGGAATGTCCAACTGATAAGGCTGAAAATTTTTTCACTTGTTATTTACAGTAAGATAAATACATTCACCAACTTTTATTAAAATAAAACCATTTAAACTGGGTGTTCGGATTTATATGTCACTTAGTATAATACAAACATAATAAATTTATTTTATACAGTTTGATAGTTAGAGATTTACGAAATATCGGCCATTTTATAGTATTGCTAGTATGCCTAGTAAGGTTAGATTTCGTCTTTACTTTGAAATTAGCAAATTTTAAATGAAGACTTGAGCAAAATATGGAGTCATTCTGCTCTTCACCATTTTTGAAAAGGGTTTTTGAAAAAAATCATTTAAATATCTGAAGTAGAATTCATTCAAAAAACCTTAATGTGTTCTCATCATGATGTTATGTTAAGAATATTCATGCCTTGTCCCTTATTTTCCTATAAGTCGCTGAGAAACCCTGTTTTATGACAAAACGTGTTTATCAGCGCTTTTATCTTATCTGGATGTACTTTCTGCTCCAGGAATACTGACATTGTTTTTTTTTACCTTGCATTTTCTTATTATACCCGATATGTGTTTCTAACATTATGATTATAACAACAGACAGGCAGAAATACTGAAAAAGCCGTCAAAATGTATCAAAAAAATGTTTCATACCATGTTTCAACCAATATATTGGTAATGCATTATATACTGAGTGTCTACGTATGTTTATCCGATTTTAATCATTTCTGGCATATATGCTCAGCGTCCCTTACTAGTAAAATGATTAAATTTTCAGCTTGATTCGTCAACTGACTGCAGAAGCTAGTTCAATAATGTGTTGAGGGTCCACGGGTTCTTATACACTCATTGAACGAAATTTAACATTTAACTGACTCCGTAAATGTACGAACACTAAATGATTCTTTATCACCAAATAAAGCATCCAATCGTCACAAAAACTTAATAGAAAAATCCGACCACTTATCACTTGTTGTTCATGGTAATAAACATACGTAGGCGTTTACTTTTCTTTGTCACTCAGTATATATCGAGAAAAGGTATATTATTTACATGTCTAACAGTGTGACGGTATCTCCCAACCGGTATCTTTTTATCTTTTGTATGCTTTGAATTGAAAATAATCCCTATTCTGCTCTATAAAGGATCACGCTATGAAGAAAATGTCAACGTAATTACCCAGCTTACATGCGACATTTTAAAATGGCAACATTCATCTGGTTTCTGCCAGTTTTTTATGCACTTTTCAGTCAAAGTCAGGCCGCAAATATAGTGACAAGTAGCTTTGTCAGCTGCCCTGATCCAGCTAATGCTCTAAGGTAAGATATAACTAATGCAAAACTGCAAAACTGTGATCACTATTTTTCAAACGAATCCGCTTTCCATTCATTATTTGAAGCAACTTATTTAGCATTTCCTTATGACAAGGAACAGAAACACAGAACCGTTGTTTCTACCTATACTCCGATTTTTAAACTACGCGGTGATGAGGAAATGTCCAGCGGCACTACCCTTAGATCTAACTATACTAAGTGACATATAAATCCGAACACCCAGTTTAAATGGTTTTATTTTAGTAAAAGTTGGTGAATGTATTTATCTTACTGTAAATAACAAGTGAAAAAATTTTCAGCCTTATCAGTTGGACATTCCGGTTTTTATACTGCTTTTTTTTAATTCACTAACGCTCTAAAAATGAATATTTCAGCCGCAGTAAAGAATCAACGTTGGCGGATTTTGGTTCTTGACATTCTTTATGATCGGTTACGATGCCTAGAGTACGGAGACCTGTACGATTTCGTCAACTTAGTGAGTTTGATAGGGGCCGTATAGTGGGACTTCGAGAAGCTGGACTCTCTTTTCGGGCAATTGCAGTTAGAGTGCAAAGAAGTGTAGACACTGTGGTTAGGTGTTGTCAGGCATGGCTTCGAGAAGGCCGTACGCAAAGAGCAAGGGGCACTGGACGCCGCCGTAGAACAACAGACCGTGAAGATCGCCGCGTAAGATTATTGGCCTTAAGGGACCGTTTCTCCACTACCAGGTCCACTGCAAATGAATGGTTTGCAGAACACGGAAGACCTATTGGCATGCGAAGTGTTTACCGACGAATGAGAAGTTTTGGCTTGTTTTCATACCGGCCACACTGGGTCCTCCCTTTAACTCGAGAACACCGACGTAATCGCCTTGAGTGGTGCACACAACGGTCACTCTTCAATCAGGAATGGAACAGTATTGTCTTTAGTGACGAATCTCGATTGTGTTTAGGCATGCACGATGGTCGTGCCAGGGTTAGAAGGCAACGTGGTGAAAGGAGGAATCCTCAGGTTTCTGTTGAAAGACATGTTCATCACACTGTTGGAGTTATGGTTTGGGGTGCTATAGCTATGGTTCCAGGTCACCTTTAATCTTCATCAGAGGTAACATGAAAGCGTAGGGTTATATCCACTAAGTTCTAGAACCCCATCTTTTACCCTATCTTGACACCCTGGCAGATTCAACTTTCCAACAAGATAATGGCCGACCCCATGTTGGAAGAGTCACAATAGACTTCTTTCAACATAATGATGTCACATTGTTACCATGGCCACCAAGATCTCCCGACTTATTCCCAATTGAGCACGAGTGGGATATGATGGGTAGGAGATTGCTCAATTTGCGACTCTAGAAGCACTTCGAGAGGAGTTGGTGGTTGCCTGGAATGAGATACCACAGGAGGACATTGACCACCTGATCAGAAGCATGCCTAGGCGCGTTGGAGAATGCGTAGCACATCAGGGTGCATTCACACATTATTAAAGGTCAAAGGGCTTTAAAGCAGAGCAATCATTTTGAAACTTTTATCATTTACTTATTATGCTTCATTACGTACTTATACAAAATTTTATTAAAATAAAACCATTTAAACTGGGTGTTCGGATTTATATGTCACTTAGTATATAATAAGACAATGCAGCTAAGGACACGTCTGTTCCAAGAGTTAATGTCAAACAGAAAAATTAGCCGAATGTTATTTCCAGTATGGAATCTATAAAGTCCTTGCTCTCACATGTCAGTCATAATGTTGAATTGAGATACGGCAACGTAGCTACTAACGTCGTGAAAATTCAGTCCCGTTGTTTTGGATTGTAAATATCGTAAAAATCTTGTTTTATTTGATTATTTCGCAACGTTTCAGTTCTGTTGATATCTAATTTTGAATGTGAGTTAAAATCGTCGGTGTCTGTGTCGCTTTTGCACCGAAAATCGGAATTTTGGTTCCCAAAACAATAGTACAGCTCAGGAATTTTTTTGTCACCTCGTCAGTGAAGACAGAACCTTCTGTGTGTGCGGTGTTGCGACGTTGAAGTAATATTCTGAGGTAACAGAATTTTATGTCGTGTTTCATGTGGGCAAATACGTTGGCCCAAAGATGGGAGGAACTGAGGATGATGGCGGAGACTTTGTGTAAAATATGCAAACACGAAGTAAAAGACAATGAACATGGTCTTTTATGTGAAGGAAAATGCCAATCTTGGTATCACATAACTTGTCTGGGTATTAGTAGTCAGCTATATAAAAAAATGTATGGAGAAATTCTGAAGATCCTTATTTGGATGTGCCCTTCTTGTAAGAAACAGCTTAAGCAATTAATGGAACTGGAGACCTGTGCTGATAAGATGAAGACTCTTTGTGACAAATTTGCAAATATTGAAGGAAAAGTTAATAGCATATCCGAAAGTATGGAGAAGTCCTTTTCAAAGCCTACATATTCACAAGTTGCAATCTGTAACAAGCAGTTTTCCGTGGCAAAGCCTGTAAATCTGCCCAACTTGATAATTAAGCCAAAAAACAAGCAAGATTTGCAAAAATCCAAGCAAGATATTGAAAAAATCAAACCAGTGGACATTGGAGTTAGAATTAATACTAAAAAGGAGCTATCAAATGGAAAAATCCTTCTAAAATTTCCATCGGAATCTGACATGGAGAAGATGAGAGATACTGCTACAAAAGTTTTAGGGAAAAATTACGAAATTATTCAAACTACATTAAGGAATCCTCAGATAAGAATCCCTGGATTTGTACAGGATTGTAGTGAAAACACTGTAGAATCCATGATAAAGAAGCAAAATGCATTTATAGGTGAAGAACACTTTAAAGTCACATATATAAAATCTTTTAAAACAAAAAAATATAAGACTGTATATGCAGAGTGTTCCCCTAAGTTGTTTCACTTACTTATGGAAAGAAAGAAAATTTACATGGGATGGGAGAGATTTCCAGTATATGAAAATATAGGTATACTTAAGTGCTTTAAGTGTCAGCAGTTTAATCACAAATTTAATGACTGTCTCAACAAACCAGTCTGTTGCAATTGTGCTGGAGAACATGACACGAAAGAGTGTGTAAGCCGGAATCAAAAACCAAAGTGCAAAAATTGTGAAAGTGCAAATAAAAAATACTCAACAGGCTATGACATCTACCACAAGCAAATGATGAGGAATGCTCTACATACAAATATCGTCTGGACAGTGCAAGATCGAGAATCAACTATGGCTGATCCTACAATTGAGCTTCTTGAGGGCTTACCAGAGTCTGTAAATACTAGCTTAAGAGTGAGTCCGGGTGTTTTGATAAATAAGATAAATATAGTGGGAAAACTGATTAACATTTTACATATAAACATTAGGGGTTTAATCACAAACTTTAATAATTTGTTGGTATTCTTGGAAACTTACAATATTAATGATTACTGTGATATTGTGATTTTGACTGAATGTCATAAGTTAGAATCTTTTCGAAAGTTTGACATACCAGGTTATGTATCATATTACAACAGTGGTAACTATAATGCTTTCGATGGGGTTATTATCTACTCAAAACTAAATTTGAATCCAATTTTTGTCAACTATAAACTACGGAATTCAGAAGTTACCATAACTAAAATTGCATTGTCTGTAAAAAATGTTACCTATACTATATTTGCTTTATATAGATCTCCATCTTCGAGTTTACATGAATTTTTGAATGACTTAAATATATTTTTTGAAACTAATGTTAGTAGTAATAGTAACATTGATATTTTTTTGGGGGATATTAATATTAATCTTCTAAGTAAGGATAATGTTGATGTAAACAGGTATCTTTCCATAATGTTCTCGCATGGGTTTGTTCCATTGTGTCAGGGGGTTACGAGGGAGGTGAGTGAAACCTGTCTCGACCATCTTTTCGTGCGCGACAAAATCAAAGCAGCCTCCAGAAAAATAGATAGCTATATTATAGAACATGACATAACTGACCATCTACCCCTCATGCTTCATGTTTCAGATGACTTCGCTGTAAACTCTACAGAATCTAACTGCCGAAATGTCTTTAAATGTATTGATATGAATAAATTGAAGCACTTATCATCTGAGGTAGAGTGGAACTACAGTTTGGTTTTTGATCAAGCAGAGGAAGCAACCAATTACCTTTTTAAAAAATTAAGTAATATTATAGAAAAGTCAGAATTTGTTAAAAACACCCTGAATAATTATAAAAAGCTTAAACCGTGGATTACAAATGCAATAATTAAATCTATGAAAAACCGATATAAGCTGAAAAGAGCCCTTAAGCTAAACCCGTCTCCAGCAGAGATATCGGAATACAAAGAATATAGAAACCGTCTTAATAAAATAATAAGATTTACAAAAAATGAGTACCATAAAAGTAAATTTAATCAAAGCTCGCATGATATCAAAAAAGTTTATAAATTAGTTAAAGAGGTAACAAATGAAAGCCAAACAAAATGTCCTATAACTTACCTAAAGGATGAAAACAATGACGTGATTATTGATAAAAAGCAAATTGCTGATTTTGCAAATAACTTTTTTATAAATATTGGCAGAGAAATGTCAGATAAAATTGGGAACCCTCCCACACCTTTTCAATTTATAAATAGCCCTTCCTATTCAATGTATTTAAAACCGACCAACAGGAATGAAATTATTGAACATATAATGAGTCTAAAAAATAGTTGCTCTCCAGGATTAGATAAATTAACGACTAAAATAATCAAACAACTACATGTATATCTCTTGGATCCCTTAGTTCATATAATCAATCTGATTTTCAAAACGGGCAAAGTACCTAAACAATTTAAAATATCGGTTGTATCACCTATTCACAAAGCAGGAGATAAAGAATATATAAGTAATTATAGACCAATAAGAATAATCTCAAATTTAGCAAAGATATTTGAAAAATGCCTTAAGGTTAGATTGGTTGCATTCTTGGACTCAAATAAGTTGTTATCTGAGAATCAGTTTGGTTTTAGACAAGGTTTAAGCACATCACATGCGGTTTATGAATTAGCCTCTAAAATAATGTATCATTTAAATAACTGGGATAAGTGCATCGCTTTGTTTTTGAATTTAGCAAAGGCATTTGACACGGTATCTCATCCTATGCTCCTCCAAGCACTGGAGGGACATGGAGTTAGGGGTGCTGTGTTAAGTGTATTTAGAGATTATTTAATGCATAGGATTCAGTGTGTCAGGATTGCGGACGTTCTAAGTGAACCTAAGACGGTTCAGCATGGAGTTCCACAGGGTACAGTACTTGGGCCAATTCTTTTTAATATATATGTAAATTACCTCTGCAGTCTTGCAGTTGATGGCGATGTAATTGCCTATGCTGATGACACCGTGGTGGTGTTTCATGGAGAGACATGGGAATCAACGGGTGAAAAATTGAAGACTGATTTTGCAAAAATTAAAAACCTTCTGGACACATTTAAATTAACTCTGAATATAAAAAAAACTCATTACATTGCCTTCTCTATAACCATGGCTAATAGACCAGCATTTAATCAAATTAAACTTGATAATATTGATGAGCCTTTGAAAGAAGTAAATGAAATTAAATATTTGGGGGTTGTTGTTGATAAGCACTTGAAGTGGGACCGACATGTGCTGTATTTGAGCAAAAAAATTAGATTTTTCATTCATAAATTCTACGCTCTTCGTAATATACTGAACATTAAACTACTATTAATGATTTACAAAGCACTTGTGGTGCCACTATTGGTATATGGCATAATTGTGTGGGGTGGGATGTACGGTTCAAATCTTGGGCAGCTAAAAGTGGTGCAGAACCATATTGTAAGGATAATTCTAAAAAAACCTAGACTATATCCCACTATGCAACTTTATTCACAAGTAATAAATAATATTAAAATCTTATACAGGGTGACTTCGAAGTTGAGTCATTTATTTTAACAGTGAGTAGATCTGATCAAAAGAAATGTTTTTTTCCTTTACCATTTTTCTGGTAAAATTAAAGTAACAAAGTTATAGCCCTTTGGAAGTTTGAGTACCGCCCTGTCTCAATAATGATATTATGTTCTCGTGTTTGGCAACAACAGATATAATCCGCCTTATCCGTTCATCGCATCGGAAACAAAAAAGCGAAAGATTTTGGAACGATCTTTTTACAATCATTTTCTTCAGTTGTATACAGTCAGTATCAGTCGGTAGTCGGTAACGCGTAAGTGAATAATCGTGTCTGTTGCGAGGCTCAAATCAAAAATGGCACATGTTTACGAAAATGCTGAACTTGTGGACATGGTTCTTATTTACGGGGAGTCTTTACAAAATGCTGCCGCGGCATCACGGATCTATGCGGATCGGTTTCCCAATCGAGTGCAACCAACCCCTCGTGCCTTTGTTAATGTAGTGCAAAGAGCTCGTGAATCAGGTGACTTAAGACCTCACAGAGGAGATCATGCCGGTGCTCCAAGACCACACGATCAAATAGAACTAGAAGAACAAATTTTAGAATTAGTAAGTGATGATCCAACAGTAAGCACCCGACAAATTTCAACTCAATTGGCGATTAGTCAGTATAAAACTTGGAAAACTCTACGTGAAAATCAGTTCTATCCGTTTCACATACAAAAAGTGCAGGCCTTACAACCGGAAGATCATGAACAAAGGGTTGACTTTTGCAATTGGCTTTTAAATAAACATCAAAATGATGACAATTTTTTAAATCAAATTTTAGTGAGTGATGAAGCCCTCTTCACTAGAAACGGAATTATTAATTCACGTAATTCTCACGTTTGGGCTATTGAAAATCCCCATGAAATAAGGGAAACCAATTTTCAACAGCGGTTTGAACCAATCAACCTGTGGGCGGGAATTGTTAATGGAATTTTAGTGGGGCCTTTTGAATTACCAAATCGCTTAACTGGTGAGAATTATTTTGATTTCTTGCAACACAATTTGCCTGGTTTACTGGAAGATGTGCCTTTAAATATTAGACAAAACATGTGGTTTTTACAAGATGGGGCACCACCCCATTAAGCAAGAAATGTGCGTGAATTTTTAAATAGACAATTTAATAATCGTTGGATCGGCCGTGGCGGTTTTGTACCTTGGCCGCCAAGGTCTCCGGACTTAAATCCTTTAGACTTTTGTTTGTGGGGTTGGCTAAAAACTCTAGTGTATAAAACACCGGTTAATACACGCGAAGAATTACGTGCTCGAATTGAGGAAATGAGTACAGTGATCAGAAATCAACCAGTGATTTTATTGCGTGCTTGTAAAGAGACATGGCTAAGACGCGCCCAGCTGTGCGTCGAGCAAAACGGAAATCATTTCGAACAGTTTTTGTGACATGCTTTTGGGCGCACAGGTCCGCACTGAAATACTTGTCGGGAGGATACTTTATAAAACAAGGTAACATTTTTTTTTTAATTTTTTTTTATTTTTACACACATATTTTGGTTTATCTTCCTTCTACAATCATTATCTGAAAATTAATGACTCAACTTCAAAGTCACCCTGTATATCCTTGCAGTATGTAGTTTTGTACATGCAAGTAAGAAATTAAATACAAATTATGTGTCCCACAATTATATGACCCGAGCAAACACCACTCATAACCTGAACGTCCCGCAGTCCAGGCGAGATTTAAATTTGCGTTTTGTGACATATCTTGCACCTAAATTTTACAATTTGATTCCTACTAATATCAGGAATATTGGAAATAATAAAAAATTCAATATTTCGTTTAATATGTTCTGTTGGGAAAATCGTGAACAATATATGCGTCTATTTTAAGTTGCTTTGAGGTAGATTGATCTGCCTATTTGTTCCTTCTCTTTCTTTTTGATATTATTGTGACACTTTTTTTCTGTGATCTTAAGTTAAATCTATTACTTACAAAAATATGAAATTTTCTTTCATTTTGTGTATATCGTGTATCATGTTTTGTTTGTATAGTTGAATGATTTTATACTAAAATATATATTGCACGATATTTATCAATTAATTACTGTTTTGGTCTGTTTTTGCGCATACAAGTTTTTAAACTTAGGCGCTCATATATTATAGAGAAACCTTGTTTTTGTTTCGTTAATTTATAGATATATATATATATTATTTTTATATTGGTAAATTTTGGTTCTGCTGAATAAATGTGGTAGAGTTCAGGGAGTACTGTTCTCTCCAACAACAACAAAAAAAAAATATTTTGCTCCGCCCTACTTGTACATTTACCAGCTGTTTCTCAACGCCCTCGGAGTGTTTGACTATAGAGCAGTGCTAATTACATGATCATGCTAGTGAATCCTGGTCCTGTAAATAACTATTACCTTTTTGTTTTTATTTCAAAAGAAATTTTACTACATGTTCAATTACGTGTTTTACCTTTATACACACGAAAAATATATTTTCAGTGCAAACCTGGTAGCTGAAAGACTAGTAGATGAAGCAGGAAAGTTTCTTGGAACACTGACTAAAGAAATTGCACTTCCTGAAACAGGACTATTCGCAAAGCCTATCAGTTGTATTTTGGTACGTATCCAAATTGTTTCGTAAACGATGTGGCGGTTCCTTTTTAAAGCAGCCGCGCTTGAAGCTTTGTAATCATACAGATTCGTCGAGGATAGAAGAATAATAAACCACACATATTATACTTTAAGAACTCAAAATAATGTCTAGGCTGAACTCTATTCAAGTCACTCAGTTTACAGTACACCATATTTAGTATTAGCGACAACAGTATCTTGTTGCGATCTCAATGTTACTATCAACCGCAATAAGTATTAGTCGTGAACCCTGAGCTGTAGAATGGGTTTTTATATAAAACCTTTTGTTTTCCTTGAATATACTGCAGTAAAATCTGTGTGAAAACGTCCCTCCATAAGTTTATAAAAAACCACCGATTAAAAAAACGCCGAGACACGTCAGAAGAATGTCGAGGGGGACAACTTTTTAACCAAAAACTACATCACCCCCTTCTACCCTCGGCTCCCTTAAGGATTTCAAGACAAGGGGTATAGAGTGATAGCTTGTTTGGAAGGTCTTTCCAGCTCCTTTATTTTTTCGTTTCATTTTTTAAAAGCAGACGATTCGTATTCGAGAAAATTGAAAATATCTTTAATTATCCTAAATTATTCCGATAGGAAACAAAGAAACACGAACATAACACTTTTTATTCCAATAGGTGCTCAAAATGTTGCCCGTTAAGGTTTGCCAAATCTACAATTCGTTTATAATTTAAAAGGGAAACTACCAACATATACAGCAATTCGGAAGATTAGACGTGGCAGCAGCCAAATAACAACCCGAATATTTTTCCACATGCTTTGAATGGAGACATTTATTTCTATATGTTGGGAAATACCATCAATCTGCTTATCGTTCTTCCGGTTCGGCAATTGCTACACGACGAGTTTCAAAATAAATGGATACGACGAAGAGGGCCTATAGAATGGCCTGCTAGATCTCCTGACTTGACGCCATTAGGTTTTTTTCCATGGGGCTATTTGAAATCTATTGTGCTTACTCCCCAACCTGAAAGTTTGGATGAACTTCGGCAACGCATCATAGAAAGCTGCCATGATATTCCACAACATGTTTTTGACAATGTTCGTCAGGAATTTGAACATCGCCTATATCATAGTTTGGCCAATAACGGGAAACATTTGAACACTCATTGAAACAAAAAGTGATATTTTCGAGTGTTTTTGTTTTCTATCTGTACCAATCAAGATAAATAAAGATTTTTCTAATGTTCCTAAAAACAAATCGACCTATTTGAAAAAATCAAACGTCAGAAATTTTTCGACGTGTTTCGGCGTTTTTCCTTTTAATTAGTGGCTTTCCATAAATCCGTGGTGGGTTTTGAAATGAACATCCTGTATATAACACCTACCTCATATTATAAGACGACGTTGAGGTACTCCGATAGGCTCTTATCTAGATCTACCATTCTTTTAGATGGGTAAGACACTATGCTATTGTTATATATCACACACAGTTCTCAATATGATTATTGTTTCTGTATTCATACCTATATTGTATTTTATGTATACTCGTATACAGGGTGTTTCAGTTTATTGTTGCATAAGTTTAAGATTCGATAGAACTTTTGAAATTAATGCATAAAGTCTATATAAACATGGGTCGAAAAATGCGTGTCTTCCGAAATACAGGGTGTTTAAATTTACTTTCTAATATAGTTTTTTTTTAAATATTTCGAACAATATTTGATGTGTAACAGTGAAAATTGGTATACAAGCGTTTTTTGGTACGACAAAACGAACCTTGAGCATAGTTTTACTGTAGCCGCTATAGGGCGTTCTCTACTGTACCGGTAATGTATTAAAATGACCGAAAAATTTTTCAAAGTGCAATTTTTTGCTTTTTGAATAAAAAAACTGATTCTTCGCACTGCAAATATTTTTGAAATTAAAAGCAGAATAAGGTTAAACGTCAATTAGTTGACAGTTAGTTTTGTTGTCTGTTGAAACCTGAAACGTTTTTTTGCAATTGTGAATGCACGAAATTTAGTTTCTTTTACCTGTTTTTTTGTAAGTTTTATAAAAATGCCATTTTTATTCTCCAATCAAGAGTTAGCGGATATTCATTTTGTGTATGGCTTTGTAAATGGAAACGTAGCAAAAGCAGCCAGAGAATACGCACTAAGATTTCCAAACAGACGACATCCAACTCGCTCAGTATTTGTAAGAGTGCATCGCCAAATAATTGAAAATGGTTTTATAAATCTGCAAAGGGATCAAAACATAAATGTTCGTCAGCGCAGATTTACCCGTATGATTCTGCGTGAGTTTGATAGAGATCTGACCACAAGTGTTAGGACAGTTTCTGGTGCCTTGGGAATTTCAGCAAGCCATGTTCACCGAGTTCTTAGAAATGACCATAGACGTCCTTACCATTTGCAACCTGTGCAAGGACTACAGCCAGGCGATGGAGAATGAAGAATCACATTTTGTCAGTGCATTCTTGGTAGAACTGGTAATAATAGGGAGTTTTTAAGTAACGTTTTATGGACCGATGAGTCATGCTTCACTAGACGTGCAGTGGTAAATTTTCATAATCAACATATTTGGTCGCATGAAAATCCGCATGCAGTTCGGGAAAGAAATTTTCAGCATGAATTTAGTGTGAACGTGTGGATTGTTATCTACAGTATTTGGACCCTACATTTTGCCTGCAAGGTTAAATGCTGCGACCTTCTTGGCATTTTTAAAGGCTGAACATGCAAATATGTGGGATGATGTTATGTTAGATTTAAGAAGATTGGCCTGGTTCCAGCTTGATGGTTGTCCAGCTCATTATTCAAGAATAGTTAGAAACTGGCTGGACGAAAATTATCCAGAAGGATGGATTGGCCGTGGAGGACCAGTCGCCTGGCCTCCACGATACCCTGACCTAATTCCATTAGATTTCTTTGTGTATGGATTTCTAAAAGAAAAAGTGTACCAGACTCCCGTAACCACAAGAGATATGCTAATAGACAGAATCAGGAATGCATGTGATGAAATAAGGCCTTATTTGAATAATGCTATACCACGTTTGGTCATTCGTAGATGTGAATTGTGTATTGAACAATTGGGTTTACATTTCGAGCAACTACTTTAGATTTTGTATGTTTGTCCTAACTATCCAATAGCATTTTAGTTGTAAATAATTAATTTAATTTGTTAAAAATAATATTGGAAAATTAAACAAATTAATATTGTGTTTTTTTTGTGTTTATTTGGAGTTAGGAATTATTGCTGTGTTTAAAAACACAATCTAAACGATCATCTTAATTACTTGTAATGCCCAAATCGAAAATGTAAAAAAAATATTATTTTCCCAGAAATAATTAAAAGTGCATCGAACCTTAGAAATCGAAATATCTCAAAAACGGTTAACTATAACGAAAACTCACAAGAGAGCTTTTTTATGCACAAAAGTGCGAAGAATCAGTTTTTTTATTCAAAAAGCAAAAAATTGCACTTTGAAATTTTTTTCGGTCATTTTAATACATTACAGGTACAGTAGAGAGCGCCCTATAGCGGCTACAGTAAAACTATGCCCAAGGTTCGTTTTGTCGTACCAAAAAACCCTTGTATACCAATTTTCACTGTTACACATTAAATATGGTTCGAAAGATTTAAAAAAAACTATATTAGAAAGTAAATTTAAACACCCTGTATTTCGGAAGCCACGCATTTTTCGACCCATGTTTATATAGACTTTATGCATTAATTTTAAAAGTTCTATCGAATCTTAAAGTTATGCAACAATAAACTGAAACACCCTGTATAAATAACTATGCAAGGCAGGTTATAACATGTACATAACCTACTACACTGAAAATATTATGCGCGCCAAAGTATGACTGAGTGACATAATCTTATTTTTCTTTGAGCAGCCTGAGGACTTTAATGATTTAAAAAAGCAGCTAAATTCTTTGCTTTCAAAGTTATGTCAAATCTGAAAATCACAAATAAGAGTGTGTGCTTACACAATGATGCTTAACATGTTAAACTGAAAATAAGAAAATTTAGACCTGAGGTACAGATCTAACAATATGAAAATTTCAGATAACTGATTTGTCCGAGGATGGTTCCGGAGGAAGAATCTCTATAACAGGAGGAGGGTCGAAGTATCAATATGTACACGTTACTGTTGTGTCCAAGTTTTCCAAAGGATTAAAATATAAGATTCAGGTTTTCGCACCCAAATAGGCTCATTTCTCTATGAACGAAAAGGTTGTTCTTTTCTTAATAAAGAAACATGCTTTAAAATTTTTGTAATTATTGCACGTTTTAAAAATTGTGTGGTAGTTTCAATCAAAACTTATATCAGGCGCCTCCAAATTGAACGTAGTGCTTGGCAAGATCTTTGCTGCCAACTCCACCACGGACGTCTCCCCAAGGCCCGAGTGCCGTCGATTCAAAGGGTTGCCTACACTATGGGGAAGTCACATTCAGGCATAAGACATCAGACATCAACAAAGCTTCTGGTCCGGACTGTATTGGAGCTGCGTGCAGTGGAGCTTGCTCCAGTTCTTTTGCGTCTCTTCCTGATATCTTACGAATCCGGCACGTTCCCAGAAAACTGTCAATTTGCTCATGCCTAACCTATCCCAAAAGGAATCTAAGACCGACCCTTACAACTATTGGCATATAGTTCTGCTTTCCGTTATAGGTAAGATGATGGAGAAGTGCATAAATCGCGAGCTTCTCGAGTATCTCGAACGGCTAGATTAGCGACTGGCAGTACGGTTGCCGGCACCAGCGATCCACAGGGGACCTCCTGGCTTACGTTATGCACTTGGTAAGTCATCTCATCCAGTCTTATGATGAGGCTCATGCCGTTGATCTTCATATCACGAAAGCGTTCGGTCAGCTGTGGCATGATACGATTTTATGCTGACTATCTCTCTGGCTGCAAGGTATCCGTTTGAAGTGAAGGGTTCTCCTCTTCATCCTTTAACGTCAACGCGGGTGTTTCCCAGCAATCGGTCTTGGCTCTGACACTGACACTGAACCCCTAACATACCAACGACGTCCTTTCCTATACGGTCAATCCAATGCTGGTGACAGCAATCAACATGCAGGAATTCAGACCATCAAGCCGATCTCTGCTGGTGAGCTGGTAAAAGAAGACCTGCAGCGACTTTCTCTCTGAGGCAAGACCTCGAGGTTATCCCTGGTTGAGGACGCAACAACTTTACACAGTTTAATGCTTCCAAAACACAGTACTGTACCTTGACGAACAAAAAGCGTCCCAGCGCTCATACGGTTTCGATGAATGACCGAGTTTTGTCAAAGAACCGTTCATTTCGGCTGGTCGGAGTCCAGATCGCCAAGGACTTGATCTGTCAATAGCGACAGCAACTAGAAAAAGCTATGCCATTTATTTAGAAGTAGTCCTTTGGCCCTAGGATATCGAGAATAGTCTACAAGAGCAGGCTTTTGCCAGTTATATCAACTTTGGGCAATTCAACAATCGGACTAACAAAGTTTCTTTGCGATTCTCATAGCAGCCGCGCTACTCCGGCACTGAGGCTTCTCCCTGCGCGTCTGCTTCGGTTTAAAGGTTTAAAGGTATCAAAAACGACGAAGATACGAAATCAATAAAGCTAGCGCGGACCTAAAAATCGCTCAAAAATATTTTTCTCATGTTTCAGAGACTTCTGTTCATTTTCAAAAATCGTTTTGGAGAGGTGACACATCGAATAGGCACATTCTTGTCAACTGATGAGGAAGCATTGTAACGAAAAACCATGTCACTCATGTCTGTCAGATTTTATGCTGACTATCTCTCTGGCTGCAAGGTATCCGTTAGAAGTGAAGGGTTCTCCTCTTCATCCTTTAACGTCAACGCGGGTGTTTCCCAGCAATCGGTCTTGGCTCTGACACTGACACTGAACCCCTAACATATCAACGACGTCATTTCCTATACGGTCAATCCAATTCTGATGACAACAACAAACAAAGTACTGTACCTTGACGAACAAAAAGCGTCGCAGCGCTCATACGGTTTCGATGGATGGCCGAATTTTGCCAAAGAACCGTTCATTTCGGCTGGTCGGAGTCCAAATCGCCAAGGACTTGACCTGGCGAAAACTTACCTCGTCAATAGCGGCAGCAACTAGAAGAAGCTAGGCCAGTTATTTAGAAGTAGTCCTAGGATGTCGAGAACCATCTACAAGAGCAGGCTTTACATAAAAACGACGAAGTTACGAAATCAACAAAGCTAGTGCGGACCTAAGAATCACTCAAGCCTCTTGTTCTCATGTTTCAGATACTCATGTTCTTTTTCAAAAATCTTTTTGGACAGGTGACACATCGAATAGACACATTCTTGTCAACTGGCGAGAAAACATTGTAATCGCAGAAAACTTGAAAATGAGACATTCTGTTTTTTGAATCTCACATGGCATGAGCATCACGAAAAACCATGTCGGTCGGTCGGTCTCTATGTCTATTCGTTAATCCTTGACATCTCTATAACAAGGAATTTAGATTTAGAGGAGATTTTGACTGCGCGAGAATGAAAATGGCTTTCCAAATCGAATCAGTCGCTGCGAAGCTTCAGACAAAAACGCAACTGTCTCCTGATCATTTTCAGAAAAGGTTAAAAATCTATGTTTGCGGTTGAAAGCAGTAGGGGGTTGACGAACTTGCATTTGTGGTATCAGTTTGATGTTTTATTATGAATCATATTTGTCAACGCGTGGGGGCACGTTCAGTCTGCGCGGTTGTAGTTCAAGTACTGAACGAGAACTATGTCTTCAAAAAACCTAATTCCACCACACTATCCCGGCCGCCGGTTAATCGCCAAGATCAAAAGTAACCCATGTCAATAAGTAAAATGGGTTCACCTTTTGTTTGGTTCAGTCATGTTCAGCATACATGCAAATATACAAACCGTACTAGGCAGCAGGTGTGTCATCCCCAAAAAGATAATTCTAGATTTTCATGTTGTTAATATAAATAGAGGTGGCTTTACATGGTACGTCTTATTGTACGTTTTGTGAGACAGGACAAATCCTATCCAAGAAAGGTCGCGTGTAAACAGCAAAACGTACGTCTTGTCGAATCGAAATGGAATCCAAGGTCAGACTGAAAAACTGATGGGAGAAGCATCATTTTGCGAGAACAAAACTAAACATGTAGACTCATGCTCAGACAAGAAGTCCGATCTTGACTCAGTTCACGAGTAACTCCACTTCAGTTCGCTTCCCTTTTCCCAAAAAAACCTAATAATGTCAGACTTGCGGCAATGCACCCAGTTATTTCTCCAATAATTCATTGAAATGTATAACATTTTTCCGTGTTTGTGGCAAGTGAAAAATAAAGACTATAGTGACCGTAATAAAAAAAAAGTCCCGTATGAGGATCTTATAGAAAAATACAAAGAAATAGACTCGATGGCAATTAAAAAGTAAACTGAGGTGTCCGCTCGCAAATAATTGCACCAGTCATCACGTACTCTCCTCAGTTGTTTCAATAACGAGACGTGGGAATACTGGCTTCTTTTCAGAAGCCACTCCCTTGACCATCTTGTCTTTTCCCTCTTCATAAATTTCCGTCTCAGTCGTTGTATCCTTATAGTCGAAAAATAAGAGAAAGATGCCGTGCTTCCTCCATAATAAAAACAATTCTCTCAAAAATTCACTAAAAAAACTTCACACAACTCAAGAGTCTAGATCGGAACTGTAGTAGAAAGTGGAAGGGAAAATACGTAGTGTGTATACACTGGACAAAACGTACGTTTTGTATGCCCGACAAAACGTCCAATAAGACGTAGCGTGTAAGCCCGACTTAAGATGAGTGGAATGGGCTTCGTGGAGTTAAAAAAAAAGAAGGGCAACGATAAAATTTCAAGGATATCTATTAGATTACTTTTCATTGGCTTTTTCAGGACTACAAGAGGGAGCGAAGCTAACTTATATATAACCTATACCCAAATGTGTATGCTCATGGCATTCGTATAGGTATAGTTATTAAAGCTCACCGGCGCTGAAATTGGTGACGGAATTTCGGGGAACGCAGATTTACTTTTCCGTAATAAGACAGCGCTATCTATGCGAACCGTGCATAACTGCTATTGGTTGGAACTGTAAGCATCTCAGTTGATAGCCCAGTCACCGTCTGAGCTAGTTCGTTGTCCCAGAGACGAGTGACCAAGGCTAGACCATGCTAAAGTGTAGTCAAAAAGTAAGAAACGGCTGTCCATGACTTGCTGTCTTTTGGTCAGGCGGAGGTAGTCGTAATGTTGAGTTTATTTCAATGGCAAGTAGACTACATCTACTATACAGCCACAATCGTCAGCCATCTAGCGGTCACATGGTGACTGGGCTGTTAAGCGCGAGCCAAGATCAAAGCATCATTTTCTTAACAACGATCTGTAGTACCTTCTAGTGCAGTCTTGCTCTCCTTTAATTTAATCAGTCACTCAGTACAATATTTATTATATGACAAACATGATTATGAACCTTGTGAGTTGCATATTGGATATGTTAGTTATCTATGAAAATACAATGTAAAAATATGTTTACTTGGATGATCTATAAATGCCTACGTCTATCGAATATACTTACTTTTTCAATTGTAACGTGCGACTGTGCGAGAACCAAAATGAAATTACTGTTGGTTGCAAATGTTATCTCCGCCTTTGCTCTACAAGCCTATGCTGGCGTAATTGTCAACGATCATCTGGGAAGTAACTTAGTGTCATGCAAGGATCCAGCTGCACCGTAAGCAATATCGTACTCTTTACGTTGGGCAATCAACTTTTTTTTTGAAGAATATCCAGAATAAAAGTACTTCATCAATAAACTAAAATGTTTGAACGGATAAAATGTGTGCCCTACTAGGTGCACAGATAAATAAGGTTTCCGATTCTTTAAGGAGCACTGAACCTTCTTATTAACTTAAATATTTTACACTATATTATTATGCGCCGTAAATTTGCCTTCTACAGGTATTAAAAGACAACGGTAGCACGAATTCTTTATTTATATCATAAAATAATTGGTGATTTTTTTGCTAGTATCTTTTTGGCAACACCGTTTTTGACAGATGATTCGTGAATCGTGTCTTGGGTAATTGTCAAACTTGTTCAGTTTGGTCTATAATTTAAGCATGAATCGACTTACGAACGAACAATGCTTGCAAATTGTTGATTTTTACTATCAAAATTCATGCTCGGTTAAGAGAGTGCATCGAGCACTGCTTCCCATTTATGGGCAATTTGGTCAGCCTACTGAGGGAGCTATTCGGAAGCTTGTGACTAAATTTCGAACCCAGTTTACATTATTGGACATTAAACCACCAACACGCAGACGTAGGGTGAGGACTGAAGAAAATATTGCGGCTGTATCCGTCAGTGTTAGTGATGACCGTGAAATGTCGATTCGCCGCCGTTCGCAGCAATTGGGCCTCTGTTACTCCACTACGTGGAAAATTTTGCGACAGGATTTGGGTATAAAACCTTATAAGATACAGCTGGTGCAAGAATTAAAGCCACACGACCTCCCACAACGTTTTCAATTTGGTGAATGGGCGCTGGCAAAGTTGGACGAAGATCCACATTTTTATCGAAAAATTGTGTTCAGCGACGAAGCTCATTTCTGGTTGAATGGGTACGTTAACAAGCAAAATTGCCGCATCTGGAGTGAAGACCAGCCAGAAGCATTGCAAGAGCTACCAATGCATCCCGAAAAAATCACTGTTTGGTGTGGATTATGGGCCGGTGGCATCATCGGGCCGTACTTCTTCAAAGACGACAATGGCCGGAACGTAACTGTGAATGGCGAGCGCTACTGTGCGATGATAACAAACTTTTTTTTGTCCAAAATGGAAGAGCTGGACTTGGCTGATATGTGGTTTCAACAAGACGGTGCCACATGCCACACCGCACACGAAACAATGGCCCTATTGAGAGGCGAGTTCGGTGAACAGTTTATCTCATGTTAATTGGCCGCCTAGATCGTGTGATTTAACGCCGTTGGACTATTTTTTGTGGGGCCATGTTAAGGCTAATGTCTACAGGGATAAACCAGCAATGATTGACGAACTGGAAGCCAATGTTGAAGCATTTATTCGTGAGATACCGGCCGATATGTTGGAGAGAGTGTGCCACAATTAGACCTTGCGCTTGGGCCATCCAAAGCGGAGCCGCGGCCAACATTTACATGAAATAATCTTTAAACATTGAATTATATCGACCGCTCTATCGTTTCAAATAAAGATTTAATCGTTTTTTCAAATGTTTGTGTTTTTTTTAAAATCAAATCCTATACCTTTTAAAAAATCACCCGTTATATCTGTTGGCCTTCGGTACTAGGTGTAAAAATGTTAAAGAATTTATCAAAGTAGTGTATTGTGTCCTTATGGTACCACCGAACAAACATTGCGCAAAATTGTTTGTACTTTTCGGTTGGTTACGTTTCTTATGGTATTTGTTACTTATATTTGATTTTATAAAAAAATAAGGCATAGGATTCCAATGCTTTACTTTTTAAGCTTTATATATTTTGGTATTGAAGCTTTCGTGTCGCTTTAAAAACCTAGGGTACATTTCCACACCATAAGAGAAACTACGTTTTAGTCATTATTTTGCTGATTTGCGAAAAAAAAAAACAAAATCGGCATTTATCAGAAAACTACAAAAAGGTTTACCAGTAAAAGGTATAAAAGATTGTTATAGTGATATAGTTGTCTTTTATCATACTTTGTTTACCAGAGGCAGTCTTCCTACAAATAGTTGATTGATCCAAGTACAGGGGAACACAATATGATACATACAGGATGTCTCAAAATGAGATGACAATTTCTGGGATGCATATATTTATAACAAAAAACAGTTCAGATACAGACCACTCAACGTTATCTATTTTTTAAAGATTTTTGACACCCTCAGTTGCTTCTAACCACTGACTAACGTATTCCGCCTTGCTCTTACCTAAGCTAATAAAGTGCTGTTACTGATTTCAGTGGAAACTTGCAAGTGGAGACGGCGATTCATGAAGAACCCCATTTCCTTCACACTGTAGAGAAGACTATCACCCTTCCTGAGTCTGGTTTCTTTACGAAAGCCATAACTTGCATTTTGGTAATTATATTTTTAAAACTACCGAACAGCAGAAAGTGTAGCTGATTAGTTATGTTTTGACAAATTCTATTGTCCAGCTAGGAAACTTAAACGAGAACTTTGGATATTTTTATTTTGTTAGGAATCTCTTAGAAAAGCTATCATTTATGATGATTGCGTCAAAATGAGATGAAAGGTTGAATGACCTGACCTCGCTACAGAATAGCTCTCAAGGTACTTAAGTGTTTTATTTTTTCAGGTTGAAGATTTGAAAACAGATGGTAGTGGTGGTATTGTGTCGATCACTGAAGGTGGTTTGAATCAATTCCGTGTCAGTTTACACTTTGTGTCAAAGTGGGGAAAGGGGCTTGACTACAGAATACAAATATACACGCATGTTTAAATAAACTCTGTTATATGTATATGATTATTTATTTTTAATTTGCTGCCCACCTCGTGATGGAAATACGTAAACGGAGTAAAGGATTTTTAAGCAAACATTTATTAAGCCGTTAATAAACCCAACTACGAATTTAGAGATATTTTTTTCCGATTTTCCGAAATATTTGAATGTCGTTTTATATCTCTCTCTTATACGTTCCTTAGTATCAACAAGTTTCTAATTAAGAGCATGTTTCCCTATTACTGTCAAGACAGAACAGGCCTTTATTTGGAAACTTCGTTCATGGTAAGAAGTATAAAACGGCACATGTCCAATCATAAAAAAATAATTTTTATTTTTTAGTTTTTTGAGACTTCATAGAACTCCTTCCCTTTTTCTATCATATACTAAGTGACATATAAATCCGAACACCCAGTTTAAATGGTGTTATTTTAATAAAATTTTGTATAAGTACTTAATGAAGCATAATAAGTAAATGATAAAAATGTCAAAATGATTGTACTGCTTTAAAGCCCTTTGACCTTTAATAATGTGTGGATGCACCCTGATGTGCTACGCATTCTCCAACGCGCCTAGGCATGCTTCTGATCAGGTGGTCAATGTCCTCCTGTGGTATCTCATTCCAGGCAACCACCAACTCCTCTCGAAGTGCTTCTAGAGTCTGAGGAGGACGTTGCAAATTGAGCAATCTCCTACCCATCATATCCCACACGTGCTCAATTGGGGATAAGTCGGGAGGTCTTGGTGGCCATGGTAACAATGTGACATCATTATGTTGAAAGAAGTCTATTGTGACTCTTGCAACATGTGGTCGGGCATTACCTTGTTGGAAAGTTGGATCTGTCAGGGTGTCAACATAGGGTAAAAGATGGGGTTCTAGAACTTTGTGGATATAACGCTGCGCGTTCATGTTACCTCTGATGAAGATTAAAGGTGACCTGGAACCATAAGCTATAGCACCCCAAACTATAACTCCAACAGTGTGATGAACATGTCTTTCAACAAAAAACTGTGGATTCCTCCTTTCACCACGTCGCCTTCTAACCCTGGCACGACCATCGTGCATGCCTAAACAAAATCGAGACTCGTCACTAAAGACCATACTGTTCCATTCCTCATCCCAGAGTGACCGTTGTCTGCACCACTCAAGGCGATTACGTCGGTGTTCTCGAGTTAAAGGGAGGACCCAGTGTGGCCGGTATGAAAACAAGCCAAAACTTCTCATTCGTCGGTAAACACTTCGCATGCCAATAGGTCTTCCGTGTTCTGCAAACCATTCATTTGCAATGGACCTGGTAGTGGAGAAACGGTCCCTTAAGGCCAATAATCTTAGGCGGCGATCTTCACGGTCTGTTGTTCTACGGCGGCGTCCAGTGCCCCTTGCTCTTTGCGTACGGCCTTCTCGAAGCCATGCCTGACAACACCTAACCACAGTGTCTACACTTCTTTGCACTCTAACTGCAATTGCCCGAAAAGAAAGTCCAGCTTCCCGAAGTACCACTATACGGCCCCTATCAAACACACTAAGTTGACGAAATCGTACAGGTCTCCGTACTCTAGGCATCGTAACCGATCGTAAAGGATGTCAAGAACCAAAATCCGCCAACGTTGATTGTTTACTGCGGCTGAAATATTCATTTTTAGAGCGTTAGTGAATTAAAAAACAGCATTATAAAAACCGGAATGTCCAACTGATAAGGCTGAAAATTTGTTCACTTGTTATTTACAGTAAGATAAATACATTCACCAACTTTTTTTAAAATAAAACCATTTAAACTGGGTGTTCGGATTTATATGTCACTTAGTATATATTGCGGGAGACATATACATATACCACATTGGTATATGACTTGTGTTCCATGTGTACGAGAACGAAGCGCGAGAAGTGTGTATCAACATAAGCTGGTGGACAGTTGCTTTGCAACATGGAAAATTTCAAATCTCGATATTTTCGGAACAGAAAAAGATATTGAGCTGCGGTATTCGTAAGATCTTGACTAGCTTTATGGGAACACGTACAGGGTTCGACCGGTATATTTCTTGTATCTATCCACTTCTGCAGGGTAATCAAAGGAAGTCATGTTGTTTTGGAAAAGTTTTGGGCTACGTCGGATTCTCAATTATAAATCTTGGACATTTTTCTAAGCATCCTTTTGATCTTAGAACCATCCTAAAAAAAGTGATTACAATTTTCTTTTATTTGCATACAATTCAAATTATCGAATTTTAGAAAAGTGTACATTTATCCCTAAAAAGGTACTTGTTTGGGGTTTCTCTTCAGAAAGCGATTTTTCCCCATACTGTTGCACAATGTGGAATTTCTTTAGCCCGAAAAAAAAAGAAATACTTATTGAACGTTATTGCCTCCAGTGGTGTGCAATAAAAATTTGTTGCTTTGACAATATGTAATTTAAAACGAATTTATAAATTTTACTATGCCAATTACACAGCTCTATAGTGGTGTATTTCAGTGGCGTAATACTCAGATCATTTTTTGGTTTGATAAGAAGTGCAAATAACTAAAAATTTTGTATATGTTGGCCAACACAGCCATTCATCTTTTATCCGACACTTCTTATCTTTCTCATTCAGCATTGGCGTAAATGTCTCCATTGGAGATGTTTTCCAATAGGTAACAAACTCTATTAAATTTTTACACATTAAGTAATTTATTGATAAACATTAACAATATATGTAGCATTTTAGAAAGCAAAAATTTGAAGACCAGTTAAATACTTAAATACTTACGACAAAAACTTTATTAGCTTTGTTTGTTCTCAAGATTGTTAGTACCTTGTAAGGCCACCTCGCACATCGATCACAGCCTGGTAACTTTGAGGCATACGAGGGGGGTTCAATAAGTACCCGTGTTAGAAATGAAGACACCATTTTTTCAAAAAGACTTCTTTTTATTTTTCAACATAGTCCCCTTTTAGAAAGATATACTTTTCCCAACGTTCCTGCCGTTTCTTCATGTCAGGGAACAAGAAAAAGTCCGCAGGGGGCCAGATCGGGTGAATACGGGGGTAAGGCAGCACTTCATAATGCAATTCATGCAGTTTGGCGGCGACAACTCCTGATGAATGTGCTGGTGCGTTATCGGGGTGACACAGCAGCTTCTTTTTCGTCAAATGTGGCCGTGTCTCCTTCAATTTTTTGTCGAAGCGGTCCAATAATTCTATATTATAGTATTGTCCAGTGATCGTTCTTCCTTTTTCTAAAAAATACACGAGGATGACGCGGTTCGCATGCCAAAAAATCGTCGTCATGACCTTTCCGGCCGATGAACCGTCTTCGCCTTCTTTGGAGCAGATTCACCTGAAGCAATCCATTGCTTTGATTGTTGCTCAGTTTCTGGTGTGTAATGATCGAGACGACAATTTTTTCATAGCCAACTTAACATGTCAAATATTGATTGCCGTTCCGTTCGGCACAGCTACGACCTCTGCTACTTCGCGCACGATGTTCTCGGTCACCACGTCTGCCAGGCATCCTGGTCGATGCTGCTAACCCTAGGCAGTTCAAAAGTCGGATTAAACAAGTTTCTTTAAGCCCCTCATAGTTGCGGTCCTCTGCTAATTAGGCTTCTGCCTGCGCAGCTGCTTCGGTATATTTATAAAAAAACATTGTCAGCGCAGTCGCCAACTAGCAACAGATTTGTCTTCTACTAGCGAGCCGTCCTGACTTCACGCGCGTATCTAAGGCCGCGTACAGACCTAGATTCCAACGCAAGTCAAGGCACAAGTGGTTTCAGATTTGGGGGTGTTTGAATCGGTGCGTTCGCTCCTTGATCGGTACATCAAAGGGAGGTTTGGTTTGGTCTGGACGGGATTTGTTGACATTAGCGCCAAACTTAACCCAACGCGTTCCAACTTGAAACTAAATTTAGGTGTCGACGAGCGCATTCCCATACCTTCCAGGAACAAACCCCTTTCCCCTGTATCCCCCTATAGCCCTACGGTGCCCAATGGGTGTTTAGGCCTTAGGCCTTCGTGGTAGTTGGAGTTTAAAAAAAAACGCCAACGTCACATGTGCTTGCATTCATTTGCTCGGCGTTGGCTTTTCAGTCTGTACGCGGCTTAACGTAACAGACGGTTGCTTCGCGCATCTAAAATGCAACTGATATTCATACTACATGAATTATTTTTAACGTACTTCATTCCTGATCTTGGAAGTATTCTAAAAAATAATTATTGAATATATGAACAAACCTAAGTATTTATTTTTGTACGACATTGAACACTTATGTCGGATTATAACACACGGTATCCGGAAATTGGGAGATAACTTGCAACTGGAAATGGGTCACGTCATGACCTACCGTTTGGCAAAGTGCCGTTTCGTCAAAAGTCTCACAGTTTTTGAGGTTTGCAGCAATCATTTGTAGCAAACATCGACACTCGTCTAGTTCATTGATTCCCAAAGTGGTCTATATCGACCCCTAGGGGTCTATGACAACCTGAAAGGGGTCTACGTCAGCGAAAAAAAATTTGGGGGTCCATGAAATGAATATGGGGGTCCACGATAGTGGATTTCAACACATACACTGATAGTACCTATTTACTTACATCATACTATCTTATAATATCAAAACATATACATTATTTATAAAAGTACCTATGAAGTAAAAAATTTATTATATATGTTTATAAAATTGTGTAGGTTGTAGGATGTTGGTATTCGCTTTGAGGTCGCAATACATTTTGAACTTGTAAAAACCGGAGAGTCGCAGTCTCAGAGCTTCGCTACCTCGCACTGACTTGTTCAATTCGTCACTCTATAAATACGAATGTGGGACAAATACGTTTATTCGTTTCCTGAATCTTGAAAAGGAAAGTGCTAAGAAAATATTTTAAAAAATATAAACAGATAGTATGTCACACAAATTATAGTGTTATTTTGTTTGAGAGTGCTGGAGAAAAGTAAGTACATTATTTTTTATTAAATTTTAGTTTTGTACTCGTAGTTAGCAAAGATAGATAACTTACGCCAATCATGACTTTAGTTGTTAGTTGTTAAATATTCAATCATGCAAAATTACACGAGTACTCCTCAATAGTTTCTTTTTGATAGTTTTAGCAATTGGTAATATAATTACAGTGCAATCTCCGTAATTCGAGCCAATTGTTGCAAGAAGATGTTCGAATTATGGAATGTTTTCGGAAAAATCAAAAAATATTTTTAATATATAATATAATTTTAACTAATTTAATTTTGCCCACAGCTCACTGAGGCCATGTCCAAATCTAAAAAGAAATGTAGACTATACAGTGTTGATTATTTGAAATTTGGCTTCATTCCATCATTGCCGGACAAACAATCGCCTATGTTCCTTCTATGCAACAAAGTTTTGGGCAATGACGCTATGAAACCATCTAAACTGCAAGATCATCTGAGAAGATGCCACCCTGATAAAACAGAGAAAGATTTGAAATACTTTC